TTTAGATATTGTTAAAGTCCAGTTCAGTTTGTTCCATTCATTGCTGACTACCTTTACAGCAGAGTACTGACCCTTATCATATTTTTTCTTTCTGATTTTGTCAGACCTGTATGAGGAAATTGTGTTGTTTTCCTTGATTGGCTGGCAGCTTCTGACACATTCTTTGGTCAGAGATATGGAGTGTGAACTTCGTACATTGCTGGGAAATGGTTCATATGTTCACTCACAGGAAGAACTTCAGTCTGTAATGCAAACAAACCTGCCGCTCACAATCAACCTTTATATGCTCCTTTTTTTGTTGTATGTACACTTTCCAGAAACGTAATTGCACACAAGATTAGGTTTATTCATTATGTTACGTGACAAAGATGTGTTCTAGAATACGTCTTTAGAGAAGAAAATAGTAGCAGGAATGTGGTTTGGGTGTAACGTGAAATAGAATTTCAAGGACCTTGACACACAAGGTTCACGTCTTCCTGCACGCAGTGATGTGGTTTCAGTTAATAAAGAAAACTTATTTTTCAGTGTTTAACCTAGACAATGACTGTTCTCTTGATTTCACCAAGTGCTTTATTTTGACTCAACATAACCATAAATTACATTAAAAAAGTGTTTCACTGTTAGAAGCGATAAATCTAATTTTCTAGCACATATTGGCTCTATAATTTCAATGTGGTTGCACAGAGAAACTTTTGTATGATTACATTTTTTATTTTTAGGAATATAAATACTGACTATTATGGTCTAGGTTGGCAGACTGAGACATTATTTTTCTGTATTGTTTAAATGTTATGTTACATGTTTCGCTTCTGTCTTTCAACATCTTGGAATGTTGTGTCAAATATATGTTATTCATTAATTATCTGTCACTCGGTTTGTGTTCTGATAAAGTAAACAATTTTATTTGAGTATTTGTGTATGGGAGAAGGTACTGTACTCAGTTCCTATGTTCGGCAGTTATAGACTGGGCTGTCTTGCACAAGAGAATAAACAAATATATATATTATCCTTAAATGATGTCATACAATGCAACTAATAAACAAGTATGGCATTTTGAAACATGATGTGCAACCATTTTTACTGTATTTTGTGTGCATTTTGTTGTTAACTAAGATGATGTTATAATTTTTTTTTTATTAGTATGCACGTGGACGCTTTGGACATACCTGGAGAAGGAAGAAATGGGTCTTCGGAATGATGGGAGTTAAAGACAAAAGCGGAGAGTAGTGTTGAAACTAGTGGAGAAACTATCAAGATGCCACCTTGTCCCTCTGATTAGACGGCATATTAAGTCAGGAAGTAGCATTATTAGTGATGAGTGGAGGGCATACATGAGAGTGCTGTGTAACGTGCGGTACAACCACTACACCATAAACCACAGCAGGTGGTTGGTGAACCCCCAAACTGGCAGTCATACCAACATATAGAAAGAGCTTGCTCGACCGTCAAAGGACATATCCGTAGACTGAGAAGAAACCGTACAGAGAGTTTGTTGGAGGAACACCTCAAGGTTCTTGAATGGTCATCTTGGCTTGGCTCTGCTCACCCTGATGGACTGCTTGGACGCTTGTTCAAGGATATACACAAAGCCTTTCCAGTCTGAGTGCCATTATTTCCTTACCAAGTCTTTAATTTATGTCTGAGAAAAGCTTTTATGTTTAAATATGTGTATCAGTCATACTAAATAGTCATTATCTTGAGTCCTGATTTTCTTCATGTGTGAATAAAATGTTTTGCTTGGCTCTTTTGCATCTTACTTTGCATTTCATGTGAAAAATGTGTATTAGGTCAGCGTGAATGTTATAACTCATTCATAAATGGACATGTCTATTAAACTTAAAAACAATGCACCCTTTCAGTAGTTATAAAAGTTAGTGACTCAACTTACAATAAGGCTCCCTTTTACCAATTATAAATGGTCGTAACTCATTAATAAATGGTCATTTGTTTTACACTTTACAATAAGGCTCCCTTTTGGCAGTTATAAATGTTAGTAACTCCTTCATAAATGGTCATAAGAGATGCCAAGAAACATCAAGATGGAAAGGGGGGAATCAACTCAGTGAACAACAGATACCAAGGATGCTGGCTGATGAAGAAGACAAAGTCAGCTAGGTAGCCAATATAAGGCTTAGCAGTACAGATAAATGTGGGCTCAGTATTTGGCAAGCAACCAGTCACAATTGCCCTGTTTATCTCATGTCTTATAAAAGCGTATTAATGATTTATAAAGTGTTCACAACCTAATTAATAAATAAATTACAAACTATTAATAAACCCTTATTGTAAAGTGGTACCTGTCTTTCTTTATGTACAGTATATGTCAAGTGGATATTATCTTGCTAGACTTCTGAAAAGTTAGAAAAATTACACATGATCAGAGAGACGATTGAAGTTTTAATATGAAATCTTATTTTGCATTCATGCATATCATTTCCTAATCATCGAGATCAATAATCTATAAAAAAAAACTACTTTAAAAAGGCAGTGGTCCAGCTAATGCTTACAATGCTTAAAAGTGTTTGCCACAGTGAAAAGTGCTGCATAATGTGCAGTTGCCATTTGCTTGTAGGTTGCATCAGCATTGAAATTAATTTGGTACAAGAGAGAACGTAATCCACCTGCCCAACAAGCCACTGCCTCCCCCCACTCTTCCCATTTCACCTCTTGGAGCTCATATTCACAATCTTTTGAAAGTAACATAATGAGCCTTGTGGTTAATATCCAGCTATGCATGCATCAAACATGTAAAAAGTGAGAAATTGAACTACTGCAGAAGATAAGCACACAAAAATCTACACTGCAAGGGTTTAACTAACATTCAATTGAATCTCTGTCTAAGTTCAGGTAGGTCTCTGAGTTTAATAGCTCATTGATAGTGATCTTGTCTTTCCCACAATCTAAGACGCTGGCTCATTATAGGCTAATGGAATAAGAAATACTGTTTCTGTCATATTACATTCAATGACTCTTCATGGTTCACAATCATCTGTCCTGTCTCGTCTATAGAAACCTGCCTGTCTCATTCACTGGTGTGAGCAGAGGTCAGATCTCAGAATTCAAGGCAGCCAGACATTAGTATTCCCGCGGCCCTCGCTCTGACTGAGCCATCTGCTGCTTTCTGATTGCCTCTCTGGTCGTCTGTCCTCTCCTCAGCCCTTCTTTACCTCAAACAAGAGTCTGAGGGTAATTCAAAGCTTTCTCTTACCGGCGTAGATGAAGCATGTTTTGGCAAACATGAACAGCGACAGCCCTTCACAAGTGGTACACAGCTGTAGCTCATACCAGACAATTTGGATACTGCAGACAGGCTGGTATGCTCTTGTTGTTGCCTACATTTCAGCGCTTTTTTGAGGGACACAAAAACGTTTTGTTTGTGTTTGCGTGCAGGTGGGATGTAAAGTGTGTTGGAGCCAGCTGGATTTGGATTTCTTTTTACACCAATCATTGATTCCTTTTCTTTAGCCACTCATTTATATTCAGGCTCCCATGGGGCTGGAGCACATCTCTGCTATCAAGGCAGAGAAACAAAAAGCATAAAATGTAAATAAGACTTTAGTTTGGGCAATGATGTGAAACATTATATGAAGGGCATGGTCAAGGCCAATTTTAATAAGCAATAGAAAAACGACAACTGCGTTGATTCATGTCACCTGACCTTGCTCGACATCATTTAAAATTGCGCACACCAGCTGACTGAATATATTCACATGCATTTTGCACCTGCATAAGATATAATAACTAGTCTGTACTACAATTGACATTGTAGATATATATAAACAAACAAACTGACTAACCATTTTCATGCCGCTATTGATAAAATGTATGTAACGAGTGCAGATACAAACCATTACATGTAGACACATATTTACGTATTTAGTTGTACTGTGTGCTCGCTTGTATTCTAAATATGTCACAGTAATACCAAACAGGCTGGAAAGATCCCACCTGTGTCTCATGACATACAAATGCATGCTCATTGAATAAACAATGTCAATTCGGAAATGCATGCCAGACAAAGCGGATTTAGGAAAAGCCACCTGGCTTGAGTCTTATATGATTTCCAAATTCAGATGTAATGGCACTCTCGGAAAATATAAACATTAAAAAACATGATATGATAGAAATACTGGAAGAGTCGGACAACACTGCACCAAAAAAAAGAAGGCGTATGAATAGGAGGGCAACAAAGAAGAGGTCAAAGGGTATCAGTCCCCAAGGGATGCAGTTACCCATAGTTACCAATCCTTACCCTCAGCTCTGGGGGATTGAACTAGGCGGGGCTGAGTCTCCACAGGAGGATGCTGGGATATAATGTGGAGGAAGAAGGGGGTGGGGG